GACTTGGGTAGGGGAGAGATGGAATATAGTTAATTGCGATTGCAGTTATGAGGGAAGGGGCTGAAGAGGACTGAGTATTGCTTTGGATGCAAGAATTGGAGACAGGTTAGTGGGGAGGGGAACGAGGATACAAGTCGGGAGCTCGGAGGCAGGAACTGGAGACAGCAGCAAAGAGAGAGCACAGCACTGCAAAAAAAAGGTGAATTAAGGCAAATCCGAGCCTATGAATACAAGCAAAAAAAAGACGAAAAAAAAGGAATCAATGAATAAAATTAAAAAGAGCAGAAGCAAAAAAAAGCAGGCCTACATGCATGGAGATTCTCCTACAAAAAGCAGTCTTCAGTACGGGATTTACCGCTGATGCGTAGATGAAGCTGAGAACAAGTAAGCTCGATTCGATCTACATTTACACACAGTAATCCCAGAAATGGGACTAAGCCGCCTGCAACTGTACATAGCGCTTGAACCTCTGTTTTTTCTCTCGAAATATCGCAGAAGCAAAGCTCGACTTCATCCCCGTGCATCTGGTCCACCCCGTCTTTTTCCTGACATTTTTATCCCTAGTATTCGCAAATAATTGGCCAGCGCACGGACTGCCGGCGCGAAGATGTGTTTATGTACTGTTTCCCGCACGTTTTTATTGCTGACGACACCGGTTTTTCGGGCAGATGCTTCTAGTTAAAAGAATTTACACTGCCCACGAAGGCGGTGAGAAAACACTGCCCTAAAATTTCAGCTTTCTAGTTTCTGGTTCCCGAGTTAGCAACTTACTGGCCAGAAATTTCAGGGCCCGTACGCGTAACTGAGAGCTGGATTTGAACTCATTAAGTCCTGCGTGGACGGGGAGCATTCTCTTTAAATCCCAGCTTTCTGGCTTTTCAGGTCCCCGGGTTGCTTTTTCGGGCTCGTGTGCGGGAACCACGTGGACACGAATGTTGATTTTGAGGATATGGGTCCGTACGTGCATGTAGATTAAGTTCACAAAGTTTCAGCCTTGTAGCTTTTGTAGGTCTCAAGGCGAAAAATCGATATAGGCGAACGCATAAGCACACGCACACACACACACAACCTCCCGGCAGAATGTGTCGTTGCACCACACAGATGCAAAAAACGCATCAAAACCGTATTTGCTAGTCTTCAGCTTTATCTAAGCCTGATCGTCAAAAATAAGGGAACTCCTCCCCGCTCTTATTGTCGAAGGCAATAAATTGGAATTTTTTTGTAAATCCAATCGAACTTATTTGTCCTCAGCTTCACCTAAGGTGGAACGTCATAAATAAGGAAGTCCCTTACTGATGACGGGTTTTTATAGGACAGTTCTCACTTGCTTAGGTTGTGCGTGTTTTTATTCGTTTCATCGTTAACCTACAAACGAGTGCAGTTTGCACGTATGTTATGTGGCCGATTTGTGCTTCAGTAGTTGACTGTCCCGGCTCCTGTCTTGCCACGAGTCTGTGCGACTCAGTCAGCACAGTATTGTCCTTCCGATAAACTACGTTACTTAGCGCTCGGGAATGTCACTCAGTGTTCGAGAGATGTTAGCGAAGCGAGTGGAAAAACGGCGCCCTGTGCTGTCTCATTAACGGAGAAACGAGATTGTTTCATGAAATGACCAAGCCGAGCCGAATTCTAGTAGTTGCCGTTCACTGGCGGCGTTCAGTTTTCATTTGTCTCGGTGGATTTTGTTGTGTAAAAGGGCAATTTAGCGTGATGGCTGAGTATTTCAAATTTTAAGAGCGCGGATTTTTTATGCGTTTTGTGCTGTGTAACAGCAGTACAAAACGCATATTGTTACGGGGTTGTCTG